TAATTCAGAACTGGCGGTCAGTTTCAGCAGCAGCTGAATCTGGACGCCAGTTCCGACTTACATACAGATTCAACTTAAGAACAAACCTACAGTCCCTATCTTGTACGTAACCCGGGGACTGCCTGCAGAGCTTTTCATCTCTAGCTCACTGCTTTAACTCCTGGCCAGTTAAGTGTGACCAAAAACTGCTAGCTGTTTATGGATATTTGTCTCAAATGGATAAGTGTCTCAAAAACAGTCATACCTATTGGAAATAATGTACTACTTTGCTTACAGTCTCATGATCAGAAAAGCCAAAGCTTGAATGGGATAGAGTAAGGTATGCTTTCGCTTTGAAAGTATGTTTTCACTGCTGAGCTAACACAGGTTTGAGGTTTGCCACTAATCTCTTTCCTGTCGACTTTCAAAAAACCTGTCCCAAGTTTAGTGGTGTTTTCAACCCAATGAACTCAACCGGGACTATAGGCTGAAGTGTGGCTGTTGAATATTTTCAGGCCAGTAAAGTGCCCATTTGCAAAGAGGATGCAGGCTAAACAACTCCAGTGTTGATAGTCCTATCAGCAGTCCCCACCTATGTGTCCAGAAGCACAGACAAGTTCTCCCACAATTCACTAGCAACTAATCACAGAACAGCTCACTTATAGCAGTGAATAGACTTCCAGGAGTCCTAATGATACAAGTGTGAGCTCAGCAGCACTGAGGGCATAGTGACTTGAGAGTGCCTTTGCAGCATGGCAGCCCATACCTACACTACATTAACCCAGGTGCCAGTCACCCAAGTCAAGTTTGAAGTGAAGACATAGCTATACAAAGGTCAGTCAGGACTCAGGCATATGTGTAGGGCCATATATGGAAGCTTGCATTGTTGCCACCCATGCAGTACGTATTCTGTGAATAAAATAGAATGGTAGCCCAGGATACTAAAATAATCTAGCATTTTTATTTGAACTAATTTCTTATCAAAATGAAAACTCTATGGTATTGTACTTTGCTATTAATACTGGACCCCTACAATCAACTCAACTAGCCTTGTATTTTTATTGGAAAGCAGGGACACTGACTTACAATACTCCATTAAAGTGATTGTAGTTATATAACCAACATGTTCATGTTTCTTGTTTTTACTGCATATTTTTAACTGTGGTTTTCAGAAAACCCATTCTAACTTTTAAAATTGTTGAAGCAAAATGTGTTTGTAATGGTTGGGTAAGGATTTTGGGTTGCAGTTTCACCATAACCATAAGCTTCCTATTTGGTCGATTTAGCAGGCTTCTTCATTCCTTGTTTTTATGAAGCAATTAAGACCTTCCCTTAAGAAGTCTTGTGCATGTAAAGTAAAGTTAAATTGTAAAGTAAAAATAAATTCAAATCTCTTCTGGCCTTCCTGAAGAGTAACACTGATTCTTCATTTCAGTTGGAAGGTGCTTCTTTGAGTTGCTTTCTTCATGGAAAGAAGATTTCAGCCAATAGAAAGGCTTTCCCAAGATTTTTTTTAAATATTGCCAGATGTAGGCTTTGTTTCATATTTCTTTAACAGAATATGATCTTTAATTCTTTTATATGTAATACACAGGACCGTGATGAAGACTGGTCTGGAATCTGTTAAAATGGCACTGAGAGCATTTTTGGATAATGCTGCAGAAGATCTGGAGAAGACAATGGAAAATCTAAAGCAAGGCCAGTTTACACACACGAGAAATCAACCAAAGGGAGTGACACAAATCATTAACTACACCACAGTGGCTCTCCTCCCAGTACTCTCTTCATTATTTGAACATATTGGACAGCATCAATTTGGAGAAGATTTAATATGTATGTCTTATTTAGAAATGTTAGGAAACAAAATCTTTATTATTTTGTATTATTTGATTTCTAATACTTGGGGACAAATGCTGACAAAACTCTGTGAAAAAATTCACTGATTTAAATGAGAATTTGTCTTAAACTTAAAATAAGATTAGCAGATTTTACACTTTCTCCTATATTTTTACACAATGGGGTAGTTTTGTGGTTAGAAGATAGGAGTAGAAATCTGGATTGTATTTTTGGCCCTGCCACAGACTTGATATGTGATTTTGCATAAATCATGCAGTCTCTCTCCACATGAATTTATCCACCTATAAAATAGGAATAATAATACTTACCGCATAGGCATGTTGCAAACACAATATTTATATAAAACTTTCAGATTCTGTGATGAAAGCTTTTGTGATGCAACCTCACTGATTCAAATCTTTCAAGCAAGGTTGTCATCTGACTTGAGCTACAAACATGACCGTGTTTCAATTGATGAAATGTTCAGATGGATGCAGGAGGAATTGTTGAAGAAGACAGCTGCAAGGGGCTGATGTGGTGAAGTACTTCTGAAGCTCCATTTCTGTGGTGTTGAGGAGCACAGTTGATGCAGAACCTACATTTTATCGATTACCTAATTTGTGCAGGATTAAAGCTGTTCTCTTCCAGTTCCACTTACAGTCCACAAAGCAGAGTTTCAGTCCTGTACTGTTTAGAAGTCCCACGGGAATTCTAATGGTCAGCTCCCTCTCTTTCCTGGGCAGCCATTCTGTTTCCTCAAAGCTGGAAAATTCAGAATTGGAGAATCCTTGAAATAGGAATCCACTAGGGAAGGATCTAGAAAAAGAGATTTAAATTCAGTCACCTGCATTTTCTATGTCTGAAAAAATATAAAGTAGATATGTGGAAAGTAGTTTTCTAAACATTGTAATTTGATTAGCTGAGTCTATACTGTAATTTTTATTTATTTAGAAATTATGGTTAAAGATGCTTAATTTCAGTGTCTAAAAATATAATCCAAAATTAAGCAGCTATGTGGCTATACAAGATCAGGTATACTCTTTCTATTCCTTTTTGCTTTCTGATCTTACAAGATTTTTAATCACCTTAATTTTTAATACATCCTTGATATCAGTTATTATAGAGTCACTAATAGTATGAATTGTTAGTTAACATGTGCTCACCTATTTTATCTAATGCACACACACACCACTTTTCTTCACAAAGTGTTTTAGAAATTATAGTCATCTTGCTGCGAGGAAGATGACCCTCAGCATCATCCCAGTTAATGTATATTTTCTCCTTTTGGACAGTTCTTAGTGTTGGGCAGTTTTGTCTGTTATTGTTGATACATTTTGAGAGTGTTTAATTCAGATATGACAGTTATTAGCTTTGAAAGAGACTCTCTGAAGGAGCTCTTCAGTGGTCAGAGTTAGTGCGTCAGCCTAGCCAATCAAAAATATCTGCCTCTGTCTCTTACAGTGTTAGGGATAGAAAAGCCATCACTACTGAATTTATGAACCCATCCCCTGAGCAGAATAAAAACTGTTTGGGTGAATGAATCACATTTTCTCAAGCACATTATTTATACTACTATAATGGCTGACTTGGATATTTAACAGAACTGAAAGCAGTTTGAGCTGAAGAGCTATAACTGGGATCGTAACTGTCTCAGAATGTCTCTTGACAGGACACAATGAGGGACATATAGCACAGAGACTAGTTATGTAATTCTTTTGAACTAGTGGGTTATGTAGTTCTTATGGACAGAATATGCTTAATCTGACTGAGGCCCACATCTGCTCAGCTCTTGGACCAGCTCCCACTTACGTGATGCACACCATCTTGTCCCACCCCAGAGGCTAAACAGAAGACTCCAGAATAAAAATCATGACTCTCTACTGCTGGAACTAAATAATATTCTCTGTAGGAGGGAATTGTAACTAGAGCTGGTTGGAAAATTTCCAGTGAAACAGAGTTTTGTCAGAAAATGCTGGTTAATTGAACATGAAATATAATATGAAAGTGAATTGGATTGAGTGAACTGGAGGGGCTCTGGTCAACTTTTTCTCCCAAATTTGATCAATTCAGGATTTTACAGCCCCACACAGAAAAACACTGTTGGTCTTCACAATGCATAATATGATGGTTGTTACTTCTAAAACAAATAGCGAAGAGAAGTTGTTGTGGGGATCAGGTGATCGTTTTGGTTTAGTTCTCTTTCCTGACTAATGAATACATCCTTTAGATGCTAATTACCTATACTTTTGTCTAAACATGAGATAAGATCTTTAAGTATAATTTACAAAATCAAAAATCTGTTCAACTAGAAGTATTTTTCTACTGTTGTATAGTTTACTAAACATAATATGCTATTAAATTGGTTAGTTCCCTAATTTTATATGCATTCATTATCTCTTTCACACACGCATGCTCTCTCTCTCGTTCTCACTCACTCACTCACTCACATTTTTTGTAAAGGGAAATTGTACCTCTCTAATCTATTAAAGTTCTTTGAAGGGGTCAACAAATGTGAGGACAATGGGGATCCAGTGGGTACAGTGTACTTAGATTTTCAGATAGCCTTTTTCAAGATTCCTCATCAAAAGCTCTTAAGTAAAGTAAGCTGTCAGAGAATAAGAGGGAAAGATAGGAAACAGTGGATAAGAATATATGGTCAGTTTTCAGAATGGAGAAAGGTTTCCCCCAGAAGTCTATTCTGGGACTATTTCTATTCATAAATGTTCATAAATGATCTGGAAATGAGATGGCAAAATTTGCAGATGATACAAAACCATCTCAAGACAGTTAAATCCAAAGAAGACTGTGAGGAGCTACAAGTGGATTTCACAAAACTGGATAACTGGCCAACAAAATGGCAGATGAAATTTCATGCTGATAAATGCAAAGTAATACACATTGGAAAACATCCCAACTATTCATATCAAATGATGGACTTATCCTAATTTAAACCCCATCAATGGCTATTAGCCAGGATGGGTAGGGATAGTGTCCCTAGCCTCTGTTCGCCAAAAGCTAGAAATGAATAACAGGAAATCGATCACTTGGTGATTATCAATTTTATTAATTCCCTCCAGGACACCTGGTATTGACCACTGACATAAGAAAGGATATCAGCCTAGATGGATCTTTGGTCTGACCCAGTATGGCTGTTCTTATGTTCTGATTTTCCTTTTTCCCATTTAAGGTAGACATTCACTGTGAGAATTCCCTGTTTTTTAAGCACTGTTAGAAAAGATTCACTACACCATATTGCATAGATTATTTCTATGACTGTGCATTATCCTATCAAGGATGATGTGCATTGTTAGCAGAAAAAGAGAGTACTAATGACACATTAAATAGGATATTGTTCTCAGGGTATGGTTTCTATTGAATTAGGTGGATACTTTGCATAAGAAGCAATTGCAGCATTTAGCCATAGGTCTACTTTTTTGTATTTACATAGATTTCTACAGGCAGTGTTTGGCAGCTTGAACTCATTAGTGTGCAGATTGTCAAGTCAAATATAATTAGATTGTCTATGTAATTTAAAGCCACTATGTAGAACTAAAATGGAATTTTTAAATTCTTTTCCTTTTCCTTTTTTCTGCCCTTTTCCCTCAGTGGACGATGTTCAAGTCTCTTGTTACAGAATATTGGCCAGCTTGTACTCTCTAGGAACCAGTAAGAGTATCTATGTGGAGCGGTAAGATCAAAAATCACTTACATTACCATAATTTTCTTATGTACACTAAGTCATATAAGTAGACATCACATGCGTTCTTTGCTAGAAAGTAGTTTTCCATGGTGGAAGTTTTAATAATGAAAAAGAGTGTGGAGAGAATTTTCAAGGCATGTGAGGGGGAGCCGAGGAGCACAGGGAGAGGAATCAAGTACCCCTTAATAGAAAAGAGAGTTGTGATAAGCAGAATACTAGATTCATTATAATACATTGTAAGCATTCACATTATAATAGAGTAACACTGAAAAGGTCCTTCATTCTAAATTATGATATTTTTTGCTCGAATTGGAACTGCAGAATCTGACTTTTTATATATACTTAAAAACAGTATTAATTGCAAGGGGAAGTTAGAGAATCTGAGTTCCAGAAGGGGGAATCACACATTTTCATTACAAGTATTGTTTTAATTGTGCCTTGTAGACTGATTAACTGTACTCTACTCCATGGGTATCTCTCATTTATCTCTGTTAATGACTTGATATAAAAAATTCTCTTTCTTCTACAGAAACTTGGTGTTTTCATACTTTGTAAATAAAATGATAGCTATTCATTTTGCAACTTCACTCTAACCCCTTCAGAATTACAGAATTTTGTCATTCATGATTCTGTTAACAAATCAAATGAAAAAATCATAATGCATCAACATTTTTGCATTTTTATTTCAAGTAGAGAGATATCTGAGTTATGAAATTCAAGACTGAGGCATGGGTACGATCTGAATGGACTCAAAAGTCACTGTTGAAAATAATCAGTGATGCTACAGAATTAGTCAAATAAGCCATAAAACAATACAGAAAAAACTTTACTCGTAACCTTTTTGTACTTGTATTGCACTTTAATCAACACACTAACTGAACCTTACAGCATCTTGCAACATCCCACTTAGTTTAATTATCTACAGTCTACAGAGGGGGAAAATTGAAAAATGGGGGAAACAAAGTGATATGCTCAAGGTCACAGCAAATCAGTAGTGGATTCAGCATAGCACAGAGAGTGTAACAGTCACTTCTCTGGGTGGGTGTCTGTTCCTCTGCCTGTTCTATTAATAGTTGTACCTTGCATATTGGACTGAGCGCTTAATGTTTCAACAGGTCAGTGTAAGTTACATTGTTTTCAACAATTAAAATGCTGACATTCTTTACAGTCGCTGAGCTGTGTAAACTTGTTTCTTCTACAGATCACTGCATCCTGGTAAAAGGGCTTTAATTTGCATTCTGACAAATACTATTTCTTGTTAGCCCTTTTAGCATGCAAATTCTTGTACTCTTATCAAAAGGCCATTATTATCCAATAAGAGTGGAAGAATTTGTAACTCTAGAAAAAGATGCATAATCACTGTACTCCAAATAGCTACTGCCTCCAGAATTGCTATCTACGTAGAATACTATGTTTACAACAAACATGGCCACGTCAGCCTTTGACCATATCCTGGCATGTCACCCCATCTAATTACAAATAGAATTAGTTTTAAAAGTAATTATTCTCTCATGAGAAATAAAAATATATGCAATTTTACATGCATGCTCTGCAAATTGAATACATTTTCATGTATTTATCTTGTATGAATATATATATTGACTCTTAGAAGAGCTATTGTGAAAATGGCTTCTTTCATCTATTGGGGCATGTCTACACAGCTGGATTAAGCTATGCAACTTCAGCTATGCCAATTGTGTAGCTTAAGTCAAAATAGCTTATTTCGGCTTTTGGCAATCTCTACACAGCAGGAAGTCTGAGAGACAGCACTCTTCCTTTGACTTCCATTTCTCCTCGTAAAATAAGGGTTACAGGAGTCAGAGAAAGAAGTCCTCCAGCTCGTCATTATTTTTACATTATGTCAAAATAACTGCATGTAGTGTAAAAGTGGCGAGCAGACCAAAAAAGTACTTGGAAGAAGCATTTTCAGAGAACCAGCATGGATTTAGATCAAGAAAAAGTACCATCAGTAAGAACACATCTACATAGCAGTAGCTGATGTTATTCTGAAATAACATAGTCCACGTCTACACTACAAGAAGTTATTTTGACATAATGCATGCATCTGACGAAGTGGGTCTTTGCCCATGAAAGCTTATGCTCCAACACTTCAGTTAGTCTGTAAGGTGCCACAGGACTCCTCGCCACTTTTGCAGATTCAGACTAACACGGTACCCCTCTGATACTTGACTGCATGCATCTCCAGTCTGTGGAAAGACAGTTCCTCCATCTAAAGTTACAATAAGGCTTTGTCTACATTGGCACCCTTTTCTGGAAAAGGGATGCTAATGAGACAAGTCGGAATTGCAAATGCTGTGGGGGATTTAAATATCCCCCGCGGCATTTGCATGAACATGGCTGCCACTTTTTTCCATCTCGGGGTTTTGCCGGAGAAAAGCGCCAGTCTAGACGGGATCTTGAAAGTAGGAATAAGGGATTTTCCAGAAAAGGCTTTATTTTCCGCAAGATCCCGTCTAGACTGGCGCTTTTCTCCGGCAAAACCCCGAGATGGAAAAAAGTGGCAGCCATGTTCATGCAAATGCCGCGGGGGATATTTAAATCCCCTGTGGCATTTGCAATTCCGACTGGTCTCATTAGCATCCCTTTTCTGGAAAAGGGTGCCTATGTAGACACAGCCTTAAAGTTCACAATCACTAATACATACAGAGACAGAAATCAGGGGTGAGGGGGAGAATAGTTATGAGAGTGGAGTTAGATATGATGGAGTCAAAAGCTGAAGTTCCTGTTGTTTTTTTTTTTATTATTATGGATGAGAATTCAATGTCAGTCTGTTACAACAGAAACTCCAGGCTCCTCCTTTCTCCTGGAGGAAGGCAGGATTTTGATCAAACTGCTGAATTTCTGTGACTTTCTCCAAGTGCCTCCAACTTCACCGGTTTGTCTGATCTCCTAGTGTATGATGCAGTCCAAAAAGTAATTAGAAATGGCTCTTGATATTAAGCCATCAGTATGTAGAGTTGCCCATAAACTTGAATTGTGTTTTGGCAGTTATGTTCTACAATAACATTTACTTGCCTGTAGGGTCTAATGTGTCGCTTTATGTATTCCCTACATAGGAAAACTGATAGCCATGAAGATTTTTTTTTCAATGTTAACTATCAATTTTCCCACAACAACATACTCTCTACATTTTTATAGGGCACTGTCTTTTGGTTTTAAGATGTTTCTTTGTCTCCTTATGATGGAATTATTTTTTCCTGTCACTGAGACAAGCCACATAGAAGAGCTTGAGGTTCCAAAGTTGAGGGGAGGCATGTCTCAGATAGCATAGTAAAACATTTTCCTTTATATCAGGAATCAGACTGGGGTGGGAAAACAGAGCAAAAGCTTTAGTATGGTTAAAACTTGGGGGTGTATCTCAATAATTCAGTAATAAAATTTCCTCTCTATGTCAGACTTTGATTTTTGGGCAAATTCAGGAGATGGTTATCACTGTAACTCATAAAAAGAGAAATGCCATCCAGTTATAGATATAATGATGGTAACATTTGGCCTCTTGATTCATCAGTCGATTCAATAGCTTTCTCCCAGTTGGAGAGACTGGTTTTAGTCAGTATTATCAGAAATTCAGAGGAAAATAATAGGATTACTACTATTAGTGCTAGTATGCTACTGCTGTGTTTTTCTTGTATGCTCATTGTTAGCTATCGGCAAGTAAGTAGGCCCACCTTTGACATTTTATATATAATATTTTATTTGTATTAGTGCCAGAAGGTTGCTGTACTCTGATCTCTATTAACTGGATTGTTCTGTTACTGTGTAAGTAGTTATAATCGTGCCTCAGAATCTCTCTTTGAGAAGATTATAGTTTATAATAACAGTAAGGATGATATTAAACTAACCCTGAATATAGTTAGTCAGAAAAGATATATGTATATATATAACAATGAGCATTTGTGAATTCACAGGCAGCGCTCATCTTTAGGAGAATGTCTGGCTGCTTTTGCTGGTGCCTTCCCTGTGGCCTTTTTGGAAACTTATCTGAACAAACATAACACCTACTCTGTCTACAACACCAAGTCTGCAAGAGACAGAGCAGGTACCTTCCGAAACTTCCATGCAGGCTTTTTAATATCTGAATTTCACAATTCAAGACAGTTGTGGTTATTTACTCACTGCATGCTTACATTCATTTTCTATTCCAATTCATTTATTGATATGTTTATATTCATTTTCTGGAATGGTAGGTTACATCGTGCAAAACTCAACGTTTTTCATTCCTTTTTGAGCTGCCCAGTGTTGCAACTAAAGATATTGTTCTTATTTCTTTGGAATTAACTTGCCAAAGTAGTTCCGTCTCATTTAGACCCTGTTTATACATTGCAAAATGGAAGGAATTTGTAATTTCAGAAGCTATTTGTATTTTATATAATAAGAAGCTTTGTATAAGGTTTATTTTGTATGGCAAAAACAAGTAGAGATTGTAATACTGCCCACTGCGATGTAATAAAAAGGTTTATATCTCTAATTTTCAGTCTCAATTTTTAGCTCTATCTCTGGAACTTACCTGGATTGTTAATTAGGACTGAATATTTTGCAACCTTGTATGTCCTTGACAAATTAATAGTGTGACATAAATTGTTTGCTTTATTTTAAGTGTGGGAAATACTACAACAAAGGCAAATCAAAGTAATTCAACATTGGTACATTTAGAGACTTCACATAAGTTCCATTCTGTAAAAATAACCCCTTCAGCGGCCAATTTTATTAAAATACACCCGGGGCATTAAGGCTTTCCCTATAGGAGATATTTTAGAAGTCCTATTGATTAACTTGTCTTATTTTAAATTGCAATGTGTGAAATTCAAAAACTAGAAAGCTGTGTTTCATAGTGGTAGGATGTAACTTTATTTTGTTATTTCTCATTCTGAATATGATACACACCAAAAATATTGCAGAAATGAAAAGCAGTATGCTATGGTATTGAGGCTGATGTTTAAATCTTGACTAAATATTTTTCAGCCAGATGGACATGTTGCAAATGAGGAAAAAATAAAAGTAGAATGGAAAAACATTTGGATATAAAGGTTTTATATGTGTTTTCTCTTTGTGACACATCTCATTTTTATTATTTCCTAGCTCTTAATTTGCCAATCAGTGTAGAAGAGGTTTGTCCAAAAATTCCTTCCCTGGAGAAGTTAATGGAAGAAATTGTGGAATTGGCAGAGTCTGGTATTCGTTATACACAAATGCCACATGTAATGGAAGTGGTACTACCTATGCTGTGTAGCTACATGTCACACTGGTGGGAACATGGGCCAGAAAACAACCCTGACAAGGCTGAAATGTGCTGCACGGCTTTGACCTCAGAGCACATGAACACTCTGTTGGGCAACATACTGAAAATCATCTATAACAACCTGGGTATTGATGAGGGAGCCTGGATGAAGAGATTAGCAGGTAAGATTTGAAGAAATGAATACTCTGAGTCTGATTCTTCTCTCACTTCCATCAGTTCACATTGACGTCAATGGCTTTACTCAATATTCACCCCTCTTGAATTTGGAAGATTATCCAGTCCATGTTTTACAGCCACTCCATGCCTGGAGCCCCATTTTGATAATAACTGAAAAACAACATAGGCGAACATGGTTCCTGTCCCAAACTATTTACACTCTATATGATATGTATTGTTACCTAAACAAACACTGGATAAACACTTCCTCAGGATTATCTTTTTGATGAATGGATTCACAGAAAATGTGCCCCAGGATACTTTAAGTGGCTGAATGATGGATGCCTCTCCAACATTTTCAGAGGCTTGTTTAGTTTGAGTGATCCCAAAAGTTCACCTAGGTATTCATCGCTTATCCAGGCTTGTGCAAAGGCAAAATGGGTCTGTAAATTACTAATGCAAGCTCCCAAATGAGATTTCCAGTACTTCCTCCTTGCATCCAAAGCCAAAAAATATGTTATGTAAAAGAAGAGCTAGGCTCAAGAATGATTTGTTCCCCATTTACATTGCAATACAACATTTAGGTCACTTGTGAAACTTCCTTTTTTGGATGCAAAATGCTAGAGTATATAGAACACAAGTTTCGTGATATTAAATGTTTCGTGTGGTATTACCTAGTTTGAATCCCTGTTTTCAAAGTAATACAATGAATTTGGGATGAAATCTTGGCCCCTCTGAAGTCAGTGAAGAGCTCCCAGTGATTTTAAATGGAACCAGGATTTCAACTGATTTCTTTAAAATAAAATACAGGAGAGAAAAGGGACAGGTTTTGTATTACACTTTGTGGTCAGGTGTTTATTATAATATTGATATGCCTTAATTAGTGTTTTCCCAGCCTATCATAAGCAAAGTGAAGCCTCAGCTCTTGAAGACCCACTTCCTGCCACTGATGGATAAGCTGAAGAAAAAAACAGCAATGGTTGTATCAGAAGAAGACCATCTAAGAGCAGAAGGCAGAGGTGACATGTCTGAGGCTGAACTGCTTATCCTAGATGAGTTTACCACTTTGGCACGGGACCTCTATGCCTTCTATCCTTTATTGATTAGATTTGTGGACTATAACAGGTATGTGGAAAGGAACAATTTGGTGAATCATTTCAAAATCTAGTTTAATTTCTTGATACTTCATCTTGGCTATGTCCATACCCACGGCTTTTTGCGTAAGTACGGCCGTTCTTGCGCAAGAATCTGCAGAGCGTCCACCCTGCCCGCCCCCTCTTGCGCAAGGAAATTTTCAGTACGGCGTGGTAAGAGAGGGCTCCTTTCACAAGAATTATGCTCTTTTTTAACAGGTGTAAGCCCTCTTGCACAGGAGCTCTTGCACAAGAGGGCAGTGTGGACGCTCGGCAGGGATTTCTTGTGCAAGAGAGCCCTATGGCTAAAATGGCCATCAGAGCTTTCTTGCGCAAGAGAGCGCCCACACTGCAATGGCAGCTCTTGCACAAAAGCACGGCGTGCACATGGCAGTGTGGATGTTTTCTTGCGCAAGACTTCTTGCACAAGATGTTCTTGTGCAAGAAGCCGCCAGTGTAGACATAGCCCTTGTGTCTTGATTATGTTCTGAACAGAATTTAAATAACCTTTTTTCACACAACTCATTTTAAAGTGAAATTACCTGTGCAGACTTATTGCAATTTTATGGGAGTATTTTGGAAAAAAATCACAAAATATAATTTTCTCTTGCATTTTACCTAGCATTATTGGAAAACAATATCCAGATCCTGAAGTAGGGCATCAAAAGGCCATTCTAACATAAATGAAAACACACACGCATCATTCTGCTTTTTTTCCTGGTGATGTCATGCCAAAAATTGGATTTCAAAGTGAAATATTAAAATTGCATTATCCAAACCAGAAAGGATTGTCAGCAAGATTTTTTTTTTCCTTCTTGTTGTGTAATTTCAGGGCAAAATGGCTGAAAGAGCCCAACCCGGAAGCAGAGGAACTGTTCCGCATGGTGGCCGAGGTATTCGTTTACTGGTCAAAATCCCACGTAAGTGAATTCTTATAGTTTGTTTTAATGTGGTTTCCTTGAGAAATGGATCAGATATTTAATTATAAGCAATGTCTATCCCTTGAGAAGGAGGGGCATTTGGTGCATTGTCTCCTGCCCAGGTAAATTTCCTTTTTCTTTTTTTTGTTAACAGTATTCTGTTTTCATTAACAATACGATACAAAAAGGATAGATATAGTGCAATGCAATATTGCTCTCCTGATGCAATAGCCAAACAGTAAATCCATTCTATTAGATCACATATCTGGATGCGTCATTCAAGCAAAAAAGTTTATGGGGAACCATCATAGGATAATTTGTAATAATTTCTAGAATGAGGGTGTAAAGTCCATTTAACGACCTAACTTGAGGTTTCTTTTTGCAGTGTTCCATAGTAGATTCAAGTAGTTTATCCTCCTTGCTTATAAATCAGCATTGATACTTTTTTTTCTGGCTGTGAGAATGGATCATACCTTCTCTGTTGAGGCTGTCTTTAACATCTCCCCATTAATCACATGAGAGTGCTTCATCATGGGGAGTTTGCTAACCTCTTTTTCTTGGAAGATGCTAAACATGTCATCCCTTGAGAGTCGTGAGGCCTACAAGTAGTCCTAATTTGGGTCTCCAGTTTGCTGCTAGTAGTAATGATCGAGTTTGTGGTCAGGAAGGTGTTTATGAATGTTAATTTCCTACCACTTGTGGAGTTCTGTGAATTTGAAGAAAAACAGAGCTGTCTTGTAGTTCTATTACTTATACATATTTCTTCACAAGAACTCACGTTTCTTTCATAAAGTTCCTGAACTGTTGCCATTACTGAGTTCTTGCCACTAACTGTATATTTTTAATTGTTTCCTCCTATACTCCCTGCTCTGAATGTGTAGCTAATCAATTTGTTTAAATTGATATAACTCGCCACAGAATTGTAAAAGCTGCTGATCACAGCTGGGTAAACAGGCTCTTTCAAACTACAGGCAGTCCCCGGGTTACATGGATCCGACTTACATCGGATCCCTACTTACAAACGGGGTGAGGCAACCCCGCACTAGCTGCTTCCCTCCAGCAGACCAGGGAGACACAAAGCTAGCGCCCCCTCCCCAGCAGACCAGGGAGACGCGGAGCGGCTTTTCTCAGCAGACACCTCAGCTTGAGAATCAAGGACTGAGGGAAGTGAGGTGTGGGAGAATAAAACTGAGCTCTGGAGAAATGTTTGGCTAGAGTTTCCCCTACAATATGTACCAGTTCCGACTTACATACAAATTCAACTTAAGAACAAACCTATAGTCCCTAACTTGTACGTAACCCGGGGACTGCCTGTATAAGCATGATTATGATATGTTTGTAATAAGAGTCCTCCATGAGACTGTCAGTCTTGAAATCTAGAAGTTCTTTGAAAAGAGTGTGTGTAACTTTATTTCCAGTGACTTAATGCTACATTGCAAATTGCTGTTTCTTTAACAGAATTGAAAGGAAAGTGTTTTTCACTTACTTTGCCATTTTAGTAGTTGCTCTCCAGGAGAAAGCATCTCATTGAAGTCAATGGGAGGTCTATGCACAGAGCAGACAAACTCTGTGGCTACGTCTACACTGGCCCCTTCTTCGGAAGTAGGAATAAGAGATCCTCCGGAAAAGGGCTTTATTCCGGAGGATCGCGCCAGTCTA